TTAAATGTTGGATTCACAAGCAGTGAAATGCACTTTGTTCTTTTTTAGATTTATTTTTGAGCTTTTATTAATTAGTATGTTGTGTAGAGATGGACAGGAAACAGAGGGAGACCTGTAACAAAAAGCTGTGTGAGTCAAACCGGCGACGTCACAAACCCCGGCGGGGTGTATGGAGTGGCATGGCGTAACCGCTCGACTACAGGGTGCCCCAGTTATCACATTTTACGCATGAAATTTCCACTACATCCAGGATAGCCACAGCTTTGCTGTGTTTCAATGTTCCAGGTGAAAATTTTAATAATTTTATTTAAAAAACAAACCTAAGCACATTGGAATTCACTGGGAGAAATGTTTGTTGTTTCCTATTTTTGGTCCCATTCCACTTGCTGTCAAACTACGGGCATGATTGCCATATTCAGCTCACAGCAACATTAGCTAAGTCCTCCACATATAAAGATATAGGTAACTGTGTTAGTTTGTGTTACTACTGTTGTGGCATCATGTCTTTCATATGTCATCTGCTCAGTATTAATTAGTTAATGATGACTATGATGAAAAATATTCATTGATGACCTATTTTTCAGGATGATAACTAAACTAAATAAAAGTAATGTTTGATAACGAGCACTATGACAATGTTTTACATTTTTTTATTATCAGTGAATAAAAAGCAAATGAGACCAACTTCTGCAGAGCAGAGGGACACTGTGTGAATAAAACAACAAACAAACCTCACGGTAGACAGGAACAACCTATGAAACCATGGTAACTATAACACAACCAGGATAAAGAAGATGTACAGTAAATTTTAAAAATGACGAGAACTAGACTAAAAGTAAGGGAAATCAAAATTGGACTAAAACTAATATGCATTTTAATCAAAGACTAAGACTAAAACGAAATCAAATTCAGGTGTCAAAATGAACACTCTCTGCTGTGAATGATGAAAGTTCCGTCACTCGAACATAGCGGATACGTGGACGTGCAAAGCATGAATAGTCCTTAACTTTGACCAACTCTAAAGTAGACTGAATTTCCACCCACTTAGCAGTTTAATTATCTTTTATTATGAAATAGCCACATTTGAAGATGTATCAGTAGCTGCTGCTTCAACCTCTTCAAACCAAGTAGTCATGAAAGCCACCCACTGGGTGAGACATAGAGGGCTATGTAATGTGTCAACGTTTGTCTTTGGGGTGAGTTCAGTCTGACGATGGGACAACTCAGGGAGCCAGGCATTCCTCCACAATCCCATGGTTGTTTGATTGTATCACACCATCTTTTCTGATAGGACTTTCACTCATATTTGAAGTCAGGTGGTTCAGCATAAGTGGAAATGCAGTTTCTCCTTTTGCACACCTGCCATATGCTAATCTTGAAAAATAGTTTAGAAGAAAATCAGTAATAAGCCTCTGATTTGGATTTGAGAAGCTTCTCTAACATGAACTGAATGTTTCCAGGATGCTCTGCCTGATCTCCACTGTCTGTTCAACGTGAGATTATTGTGCCACTTTTCTTCAAAAGCACATCCCACTCTGTTCATCTGCCATTGTTGTATTGGAAAGCAACATTACTGGTATGCTTTGTGTTTCCAACACATTATACGTTATGCTGGAATCATGTTAAAACATCACGCTTGTAGAATTGAGATGCCGGTATCTGTGCAAAAAAAACACATGGGCAGAATTATGCTGACTGTTTGAGTTCAGGGCAAACAGGCAAAGCCACAGTAAAGAAAAGCCATCCTAACCCCAGTGTAGCGGAATCTGTCTAAAAGAGGCTACTGTCACCTCCAGTCTTCTCAGAGGAGGGGAGGGGTGGGGATGGATGGTTGTTGTTATGGTGGTGTCATGGGGTTTTACTAGCTTTCAAAGGCCAGTATGTGTTCAACTGTCTCTTAGGCAAAACTGGCTTGGTTTGGATGTATGCCCCATTTCAAGGTTCGTGGTGGTATTTCTTACAGTTTCCATCATGAGGTTAAATAAACCCAGATTTTCTTTCTTTCTGACCAGGATTTTTTTTAGGTGGATGCTTTTGGCAACCCTTATTTTATAGGCCCATAAAGTTAATTTAAATACAAAGAGAAGTTGTTTGCTACACTTTGGGGTATGTTTCTCAGTTCACCATGGCAAATTTAAAAGGCCTATAATTGCATAGACCCATTGAACAATTGTGTCAATATCTGTTGTTCAAGCCAGCACCTCAGTGTTTCCATCTGGGACATGGGAGCCTGGCATTTGGATTAACACACTGACCTGTTGTACCATCTGGTTCCTTCTCAGTCAGCTCTGGGATACCCAGAGACCTATAAACTAAATACCTTTTAGAGCCTGTGGCAGCAGCAACCGTTGAACACAACATTTCTCTGGGACTTAAAAGGTCCACTTGAACCACAAAACATGGGATTCATACAAATCTGTCAGCATGCAGTTGATTAGGAGCGTAATTTGAGCACAGTTTGCATATGTCAGGCATCAAATTTGATGCTGTTTCAGGCTAATTTATGTTGAGGCCAAACACATTTAATGGTACAAAATCAGTCTGTGGCCCTTGCTACTCATCCATCACACCAGTTTGGTTGCCTGGAGGCTGCCTGACAGTCAGATGAGACGGTGATAGTGCCAGCTTTCAGTCAGCGTTCTTGACAGAAACAAGACAGGCATCAGAACGCTGAGCGGTTTAATCTGTGTGTATGTTCAAGCAGATGTTGAGGGGGAGGACTCATGAGTAGTTGTAGACTTGCCAGTAAATGTTTAAAGTTTGACTTTTTTCCTAGTGAAAAGGATGTTTTACTCCCGCCCACTAAGTTAAAAGCTAACTGGTCCTAAATTACAGGTTAGAGCTAGTGGTGGGGCTGTACTGTAGCTCCTAATCATGCAGATGCTCCCTCAGTGGGAGGGAGGAAACACACCAGGGGGTTTATCTGTGGGCGAGAACAATTAGGTTTGCCAGGTCTTCCTACGCAACAAGAAACAGATTGGGACTGAACTAGATCTCAAGAGCAAAAAATAATAAAGCGCTTGTTTGGTTCCAAAAATGTATCCATTGTTAACAAGTGATAAATTAATTTTAGTGGCATGTTTCAAATGTGTTGTACTTTAACTGATATTAGTTTGGAAAGCTCATCCTGATATTTCGGTACGTTTAGTTTCCAGTTGTGTGAGCATTAACACCTCTGAAACCAAAGGGAACTCATGATACAATAAGAAAAAGTGAACCAGAAGACTGAACCCCCCCCAAAAAACCCTAACCTCTGCAACCACTGCTGCCTTTTGAGCTCTCATTACATTAGTAATTGAGTAAAACTAATTTTACATTTCACAATTAACACTACAACATGTAAATCACAAGATTTTTGTTTCGTTAGTGTTTGTGTTTTTCTCTTTAGTGTTCCAAATTAATGGTGTTTTAAAAAAAACAACCCATAATTATTTTTATTTATTTATTTATTCTTCTCCCCCTCCTCTCTGAAAAACTAAACAAAACTAACCAATAAAGGGATGTGAACTGAAGCCTGGCTCAAAATTTGAGGTCTGAACCGAAGAGTGGATTTAATACATCCCTAGTCTTAAAGGATAACGGTTTGTTGTTGTTTTTTACTTGTTGTTGACTCGATAGCTAGTGCTAATTTTGCTATCACTCCGTTGTAGATTCATTGTGATTTAGGGGAGGTGAATAGTTATGTTAAATGGTGTCAGTGACACAATCAGTTAGCCTTAGAAAGTGCTCATAATAAACGTGATGTCAGCCAAATAATTTTTCACACTTAAAGCACATACAAAATATACTGTTGGCCTATGCAATCAACATATAGTCTGATATCACATCACTATGTGTTTGACTGAGCAGTGAGACTGTTTACCAAACACATGTTTGTGTATCACTGTCTGCGTGGCTCTGGTTGTCTGACTACCAGGCAGCACCTGGGTGCTGACATTGTGTGGACTGCTGTTATTTCAGGGTGACTGGAGTCTTGACCCACTTCATGTTTGCTCTAACATACTTCCTGCAGAGCTTCCTTGCATTATTCTAGAGTTAGATCACCAGAGTGCGTTTTGTATTGAGTATAGAGTGGGCCACATATTTCTGTATGAACTTGACCCGAGCTCAACAAGCTTATAGCATATAATGTCCGAAGCTGGTTTGAGCCCATCATAGTTGAGTTTGTATGGTGTTTTCCCCTTTAATATTAAACGAAGCAGACATTTGAGTGCTCTAGTTGTCCAGCCTAAAGTTTGACCTACATTACGTGTCCGAACCTGACCCAGGCCCGAACACAGAATAGCTACTAAATTTCTGTCTGAACCATCTGGTCCTGACAGGTCCCACTTGGCACAATTCAGGTATCCATGCTCTATTTTGTATTAGTGTTAACGTTCCATAGTCAACAACCAGTCAGTGGTTATATGGAGATCCTTCCCACTATAGTATGTGTTAGTATTTCCATGCCACTTGATGTATACAACATATAATATAATCCCTTATTGTTTTGGTTTGTTTGGTGAAATTTGGCTCAGTCACATAGGATGTTAGGGATGCAGCAGTCATACTACTACTGGTTTACTTTGAGGGAGACAGTTTCAGAGTCAGTCTGCATCTCTCTCTCTGTCCCAGCTAGCTTCTGATTGTCATCCATCACTGGCTCAACCCCAGTGCACAAACAAGAAATGAAATATCAGTGCTTTATTCTCTGTAGTAGATTTGGACAGATAAGTATAATGAAATATGAAGTTATTATCTGACCTTTATTATTAATATTTTGGTAGAGCTAGTCAGTCAAATGTTTACTGTAAATGTGGATAATTTAATATGTTAGGTTTAAATAGAATCATGTTTTAATCAAGGACTGGTGTAAGAGTCTGATTATTTCTTTTTAGACGCAAAATGTTGCTGCTACATTAAAAAGGCCAAAGTGAGGAGATGAGAGAAAGAGATTTTTAGTGCTTCTGTCCAAATCTAATCTGCTGTCCCTCTTTCATTGTGTTGGTATTTTGCCACAGGAGAGACAGCGACTAGAGACCATCCTAAACCTCTGTGCTGAATACAACAAAGGAGAGAGTGCTGGCCTGGACTCTGTGGGCTTAGGGAGAATGGGGCTGGCGGATGGCTCAGTGCGGAGACCGTCCATGGAGAACATCCTAGCAGGGGCACCATCCTCAGCTGCACTACGCCTGGTGCAGAGACAAAGGGAGAGCGACGAGGAGAATCAGAAGGAGGAGTGTAGTAGCACAGAGAGCACTCATCAGGAGGTGAGGACATCTCCTGGTCCCAGCACAGCATCAGCACTGCACAATGGAGACAGACAGGTCAGAGGGAATGCTTATTCCCCATCAGAGATGCTCTCTCTGCATGCCGCTGTGCAACCAGCATGTGCAAGTGATGTGCTTGGCTTTGCTAAATCAGTGGTGCTTAAAGTGAAGTTGAGGGACCACCAGGAATCCACGAGGGAATTCAGTGGGATCCCATGGAGAAGAACAGTTTCATGTTAACCTAACTGACTACTGTTCACCTACTGTATATCAGCAAATGAGTGTCGGTTCAAATCCCATCAGGTTTAGCTTTTCATCATTACACCATGTCCACAAACAGTGTAGACTAGCAGTGGCCATTGAGACTCAAGTTTAGGTAGGTTTTCATTCAAAACATACTTTATACTAGGGCTGCAACTAACGACTACTTTAATAGTCGATTGTGTCGATTATTTTTATGATTAATTAGATGTATAAAAAACATGCAGAAACCTGCTTTCCACATTATAAAAACAAATGCATTTATTTAAACAATTATTTTGCAATGTTTCTATGTAGAGCATTATTAAACAAAATAAATTCAAGAATAGAACAATTATAAAATGCACAATACGTCCTGTGTTTTATGAAAAACACTAAAATGTTTATGATTTAAATGTGTTTTCTGTAAAGAGCCAGTACACACATGACTACCATTGTTGATGGTTAAAAGTAAATATGAGTATGCTTGAATAATCCTCAACACGTTTACTCTTAGCCTACTGTATGTACTCTGTACAATCCCCATTAACTTGCATGTGTTCCTGTACACACCTATATAGCTTAGCTTTGCTTATTACGTTTAATATAGTCCTAATGCTTGGCTGTTTACATGACTGCAACACAAACGCAAATGCATTTAGCACCTGTTATTAGCAGCCTACACAAGCCACCCTTATGTTCCTAAATATATAATTAGCATCATAATATACATAACAACATAACTGCATTACTTAAAATCAGGTACATGATGATTTTAGTTTAAAAATTTCTTACAGTATTAACTAAAATAAATGAGTTGCGTAGCTCCAGGCTCCTCTCCTTCTCTAACTCCGTAAATTTTCTCTGTAATTCCGTAAATTAGCGTTATGCTCTTTTGTCACACCGGATACGTTTTGCATACTTGCCACCAGACAGTCTTCTTTCTGATTGTAAAATCTGTTTAGTGACAATATGGTGTTTCAAAATAATGAAACATTTCCTAAAAAATGATATTAGGTTACAGCTATTATGTAGAATTATTGCGGTAAATGGTCTTATACTTGTATAGAGCTTTTTATGCATTGCAGTGCACTCAAAACGCTTTCACACTGTTTAGCCATTCACCCATTTGCACTCCCACATTCACACACCGGTGTCATCACCGGGTACAGCTGGGGGTTTAGGGTCTTGCTCAAGTACACTTCGACTGGACAGCCCGGGAATCGAACCGTTAATCCTCTGGTTAGGATACGACCCATGCTACCTCCTGATCCACAGCCACCCCACAGGAATGCATTAGCTATTAAGATACATTGAGGAAATATTTACTGTAAACATTTCTTGCATTTGTGAGGAAAACTGAAAAGTTTTTTCTTAAATTCCCATTTATTGTTTTTTTGGGCTGTTTGTAAGGGAATTAGAAGATACCTTTTAAACAATGGAAATCTTTTTTTATTTACAGTGGCTTCTGCATGAGCCTCATTTATCAGTCACCTCCTTTTTATGTGTGTGTACCACCTCCGTTGTATGCTTCTCCTCTTATCTGTTCTTCTGTCTGTCTTTGCTGCAACAAGAAAACATTTCTTAGTGCCAATATGTTTACCTGTAAGCTTCTAATAGATCATATATTGTGTGATTGTCTGACAATTTGAATGTATTTGAACAAATGATTTTTGTACTAAAAGGCTGAACAATCCAGTGAAACTACACTTGCACCTCCCTGATTTCCCTGTGAAACATAAATCTCTACAAAAGTAATAAAAGTAATCCTAAAATAAATGAATAAATACTTTTGTGTAAACAGATGAAAATGTCATAATACAGCATGGGTAAAGGCTTTCTTAAACTTTGTGAATAATACTGTATAAGACACAAAAATTCAGTGTGTAGCTCTGTCTTCCCCTTCCCTCTGGCTTTACTTCCTTTCCTAAAAACCTGACCTTGTCTGTTCTCACTCCCTGCAGCATGAGGACTCATCCAGTTCGGGTGGTGCAGGGTGTCTGGAGCTGGGTTACCTGGAGGACGATCGAGTTCGTGTTCTTGCTCGAATCGATGAGCTTAAAACCCGGCTGACCGAGCTGGAGCAACAATTCCAGGAGTCTAAACAAGAGGTAGAGCACAGAAAGTGGATGCTAGTGGAATATTATTTAGCTTCAGTGTAAACCCACAGTCATGTACAACACCTACTAAACCTAAATTTTTATGGAACTATAGCACTAGTGTAGACATTTTCCAGTATCAAACAGTACAGGCTGAGCACACTTCATGCTCTTAGCAATATTATACCTCAGGCTGGCATGCGTGACTTAGTTTGATGCACTCTTCCAGGCAGTTCATGCTCTTAGCAATATTATGGCATGCGTGACTTAGTTTGATGCACTCTTCCAGGCAGAGATGGAGCGCGCCTTGCTGCAGGGCGAAAGACAGGCGGAGCTCGACCAGATAGAGGCTGAAACAGACATCATCACTCAGCTGCAGCACAAACTGGACGAGCTGGAGCACGCCATCCAGAGGGAAAAAGAAAAGGTAGATAGAGCGGTGTGGGGTGACTCCACCTCGCATTTGAAATGCTCTGCTTTTATCCACCAGTTACATTCATGCATACAGGATTCAAATATTTGCAGAGGTTATGTACATTATTTGACACCTTTACACCCACTACCTGTGCATTTAGTCTTCTAAACAGTCACCTTTGGTCTCATGTTCCCTACTGGTTCATTGCTGCTGGCATACATCAGTCAGCATTCCTGTCTGCCAAGCTTCCCTGACTGACAGAGTCTGAAACCATACAAAAGGCTAAATAAACGACTGGATTTACTTTTTTGGGTGTTCTCTCTTGCATGTTGTCAACTTAGTGTTTTGTCAGTTCTCATCTGTTCCTTTCCAGTTCAACTCTGCTAACTAACACACATCCATTGACTTCTAATTCTTTCTCTGCCTCTTCAGCACTCTTTATCTACTGGATCTCTAAGGCCCTGTTTATCTTGATTCACTGTCTGCATGACAGGCCCTGCAGGCCAGGGCACCTGCTGTTTCATGGCTGTTTGGACTCGGTCGTCTTTGGTTCTATAGACTTTATTAAGGGGTTCAGTAGCTGATAGGTGAAACTACTAGTGTGTCTCTATAGCGGTTTTAGGGGTTTCCTTTTTTCTTTTACCTACTGCCTACATTTCAGCAGTTGCATGAGAAGAAAGAATGCACATTTACCAGCTTGGTTTCTTTAGTTCTTGTTGTTGTGGTTAAAATTAACTCTTGCAAAAGTCCCAAAGTCAAGTTTTTGTGAGCATCTTCCATGTGTCCATGTGAGCCTTCCCCAGGATTTCCAAGGAGAACTGAACGTGTCATTTATGAACGTGCCAGATGTTCAGTGTTTCCTGCTCTCTTAAAAAATATCCCTGCCTTAGAATTTTGTCCCTAATTTTGACCAACACAAAGAATACATTCTTCATGACAAAGATTTCTTCATTATGTTAAAAAATGGGTGACACTCCTGTTAGTGCTGTCAATTCTAGAGGACTTGCCTTTTTGGCTTTCCACCAACGGTATGAGGTGAAATTCTAAAGCCACCCTTGACAGCCACATTGATTCCTGAGGGTGAACAGCACCCAGAAGAGAGGATGCTTGTGTACTTAAGCTGGAGAGCACTGAGACAGGGTCACGCCTGTCAAATTAACATTACTCAGGATTAATACAGGTGAGTTTATAAATGTACTGAGGCCAATAATGTCATGTAATTTATGAGGCAATTTCCTCACAGCTCACTGACGTTAGAGGTTGGAACATCTAAAGGTTCTTTCAGGATATTTGCAAAAGGAATGGTTCATTTTAGCAAGTAGTTAGGCTCTCAAGCTTTCATTATTTGCAATATGGATACAGATTAAACACTGGACCCAAAAAGTGGACATATCACATCACAAAAATGTGTCCCGACTAGGACAGTTACATTTGAATTGTAACAGGAAAAACTTCTGGTATGATATGTGGCTCACTGAGCCACATGTGTCATTTATCAATCACAGGCTGTGAGGTGTAACAGTTTAGCGTGTACTTCTGTTCCCCACCAAAACCTAAAAATCAGCCACTACGCATGTGTTGCTTACCCCTAGCAGCTTTTTTATGTGCATGGCATGAATTTTGAACAGTGTGTTTCTCTGTCTCTCTCTTTCTCTCCCCTCGCCTATCCATCCTGTGTGTGGGCGTGTGTTGTGTCTTTCTAGGAGAGGGCTAATGTTGAGGCTGAGCGCCGGGCCCTGCAGAGCCTCCAGGAGGGCTACGCTGAGCTGAAGAACCAGCTTCATAACTGTCCTGAATCCCTGCGGGAACAGTTGCAGGAACAGCTCAAAAGGGTGGGTCATCAGTCAAGCAGAAGCACCTAGACCACCCCCCTCCCCACCTACTGACCCTGGGTTGCAGTAGGCTGCCCCTTTGAAACTATAGAAGCTGACCCAAACCTGCCACCTGTCACATCTCACATCCCACCTATGGCCTTACATAATAGTCTGTGTGGCTACCATAGAATTAGCTTTTTAATCTAAGGTGAATTGCGTTGGCCTGGCTCCCAGAAGCTGTATTTGTTCAAATTTAGAATTTATAATATCTGGTGTTTTAACAAAGTGGAACACCTATTTTTCACATTAGATTACATTATAAAGAGAAAATACAGTAGTTGCATATTTGGTCAAAATTAAATTGACGTTAATTAGACTTTTTAGTATCAGTTTTACTATATAAAAATCTTCCATACAATGGCCTCATTCCTGTGAAAACCGCTTAATAAATGTGCAGAGTTACAGCCAAATAGCTAAAGCAAGAGAGCGTTATCATGAAAGCTAGCTTGTGAGCTAGTTAAGGCTAACCTCAGCTCCACTAAAACTAAGACAAGAACTGAGATTTTTCTCTAATTGGCATGTTAAATGTTAATTCGGATGAATTGACGTTTTGGGAATTCAGTTTTTGTCATTGAACCAAACGAGGCACTAACTAAATAAAGAAGCTATACTCTTGCTAATGTTACAGTACCTAATACATACAGTACCTTGCTAATGGTACCTTATCTCAGCTTTTGACTCTAGTGGAATTTAAACTATTTGGCATGGTTAAACTCCCTTTAAGTATATAAAATTATAAGTTAATTTATTTTATTGCTGTTGATGTGCACTCACTGGCCACTTTATTAGGTACAACTGGGCAATTGTATGCAATTCAGTGCAACACTTCCTCCTTAACATTTGTGTTTATGAAGCTCAAAATGTTTGTTTTTGGTGAAATTGTCATAAATGTATAAATTCAATTATGTTTATTATTGAGCTCATAGCTAAAGGTGGTGTTGTACTGGACTACATTATATTCCCCAGCTACATAAATGAGAGAGTCAGAATATTAGGAACACCTCTGAACATAATGTAGTCCAGTACACGACCTTTAACTATGACCTCAAAAATAAACATATAATTGAATTTATACATTTAATTCTACCAAAGCCTGAAACATTTTGTGCTTCATAAACACAGATCTTAAGGCAGAAGTGTTGCATCGAAGTGCATACAGATGTACAGATGTACCTAATAAAGTGGTCGGTGAATGTAAATATTCATAATGCAAAGATAGACACCCAACAAAACAGAAAGGGTATTTTTCTCACTTTCTCTTCTTCTATAGTTTCTTCCTGCCTTCGTAGAGTGGTATGCTGTATGTATGAATGCTTAGCACACACCAGCATGTCGATTACAGTGCTACTGGCACCTTTAACCCTTTAGTAGAGGCCGAATGCAGATGTTTTACTGACACAAACATACACACACTCAGTGTATTTATAAGAAGTCCTCTCAGATGTGCTGATGTCCCATCAACACTTACATGCTACTGGAGCTTTCAGCTTGACACAGGAGCACACCAGTAGCTCCTAGGCACTTCAGCAGCTGCTGATGCATTTTGGCAAAATGTGGGTCATGTGTTACAACCCCACTGCACTGCATGTGCTAATCTGCTCTGCATCTCGTTTATGATCTGTCATGGCTCATGTAATGTGTATAACTCCTAACTAATCAGTTAACATAGGTCCTGACTAAATCCATTCTCTGTCTTCGCTCACTCTCATCCTGTGACTTCTCTTATGGAAACACATGCTATTTGGTTTTGAGTCAGTTTTTTGTTTTACTACTTTTCAGGAAAGTAAACACAAAAAAGCTAGGGAAATTACTGTAGGTGATACTTAGAGTTGCCAGTGATGCTATGTTAATATTCAGTAAGGCTCTATGTAGAGCTTTACGTTTTGTTTAATTAGTTTGGCCCCTTTGCAGAGAGTGCAGCAGGTATGCAGTTTGAGATCTGATTGTACAGAACTGTATGATGGGCAGGTGGGGAAATGTCAGGTTCAGTCATCAGAGCAGAACTACATTTCAGTCTGTGGTACAAAGCAGGATCAAGTCTAAGCAAAGAACACAAGGTTGCTGCTGAGGGTTATGATCTTTTCTTCACCGCTCAGGTGTTTGACAATTTGAGTCCTTTGTTCCTGTTTTCACCACTTGCAGGCGATTTCTGGATCAAGTCCTTCACAAGCACAACACTGGCTCTCAAGAGCATCCAGACTAAAACACTCATGTCCCTGCTGCTGACAGGAGTGCTGTTAGGCTGAAACCTGACAGAAACTACTTAGTGACATAGCAACAACAGAAAGGACAAGCTGAGATCAACACCTGGAATGCACAGTCGAATATGGACTGAAGTCGGTGTGGCTTTTATATCAGTGTTTTCAGCGCAGATACATTAATACCTAGATTTTGAAATTAAGTTTTTTTCCCACATAGTATTTAGAGTGTAACTTTATTAGCCCATGTTATTGGTGTTTTTTTCTTTAGCAATTTAAGCATCAAATTTAATATTTGACACAAAACTTTCAGGTGTGAAATATGTTAGTGTAAGTGACCGTCCGTCTCTCCCTGTATATTACAGTACATCTACCACACACCAGTAACTGTGCTGAGTAGAAGCATGTTCTCCATGGCTGTGTGCTTAACTGAGCACAATGTGGTTTAGTTGTCCCCAAAAAGAGCTTCTGCCATGATGGGAAAACATTTTAAACAATTTCAAATGTTAGAATCAAGATGTTTTTGCTTTGCCTATAGCAGTTACACTGGCCTGGGTGTAGTGGATGCCTTGAAAAAGAACGTGTACAGTATTGCACGTTTTTCTGTTTGTGATGAAACTGCTAATAATGTGTGTGGGCCTCCTTCAGGACGGAGAGGCGCTGGAAGCAGGAACCAAAAAGTTTGAGGACCTGGAGTTTCAACAGCTAGAGAGAGAAAGCAGCCTAGAGGAGGAAAGAGAAACCATCAGCCAGCAGCTGCTCCAGGAGAGAGCAGAGTACCACAGCATCGTGGCCAAGAGGAAGGTAAGGAAACACTTGACAGACTGTGAGGGCAAGAGGAATACAACAATGTCCTGATTATTGTTTGAACAATATGGGTCTTTGTGTAAGAATGCAGTGTTTTGCTCAGTTATTCGGAATCTACTTAATCAGACTAATTAAAAGTGGTTTTACTTCCTGTTAGCGTAGGAACCATTCTCTAAGAAGCAGTGCTGTAGGTTAGTTTGTTCATTGATATTTAACACATTCTGCAGTGCTCTCTGCTTAAAGGATAGATTACAGCATGCACTATGTAAGCAATTAATTTTTAATACAAGCAATACACTGTACACTCAAATGCCAGACAGTGCGGGTAAGGTTGTAGCCAAATGTCAACGATCTTCAGACACTCTACCTACACTGTCACTGCTGCAGGGGCACTGCAAAATAATGAATTTTGTTCAAGTTCTATTATTTATACCATGGACATCTGATGTTACCACATGGAGTAGTCAGTAGAGTTGCAGGGGTTGTAGTCATAAGGTGGTTTCGCCCTGCCACAGTCTCCCACTCTGGAATCACACATGCTATACCGCTGTTACAGTTTGCGCTGAAGATTTTCTTCTTCCTGTGCTGCTTTGTTCAGGAGAAGGTGTCTGCTCTGGAGACCCAGGCCAACCAGCTCGGCCTGCAGGCAGCTCAGGACTGTGAGCGGCTGGCTAAAGACAGAACCCTCACACTACAAATACTCCACAAGGTACACGTTTACCTGTTGAAACAGTTCACACCGTGAGTACATTACATCATGTTTCATGAAAAGTCAGGTTTTTCAAAGTACATCTACAGATAATTGCAGAGAGCCTGTGGTTTATATTTAAAAATTAGAAATATAAAGTTTGGGGACCTTTCTTTATTAGTCTTGTTTTTGAAAAGTTGCTCCTAAAAAAAAAAGAATCCATGGGTTTCTGTCTAGGAGAAGGAGAGACTGTCAGCTCTGGAAAAGAGATATAACAGCCTGACTGGAGGAAGGAGCTTCCCCAAGTCCTCCACAGCAATGAGAGAGGTGAGAGAACTACTGAGCCTCAGTGTGCATGCAGTGAAAACAAACACACATTCACACTCTGTGCTCCTGGCCTGACAATAAAAACGGAGCCAAAAGGGTTGCTGTGCACATTTGATAATGTTTTGGATCACATGCTGCAAATGCACTATTCCAAAGATGCAGTTGATTTGTTTAATGTTGATTGTGATGATTAGTGCAGAGCTTTTAACATGTCAGTGGTCAAGCCTGGCTGTAGCTGGATCAGAGTGAAGGCATGTGACACACAGTCCCTTTAACTTGATGTTGTGTGGAATGTAGGCATTAAAAAGCATGTGCCTGTGTTGAAACAGGAAATGCTCCATATCAGCGAGGCTGCCCTGTTAATGGAGGATGTCCACTCCTCCCAGCATTCCCTCTGCCGAACCTCTCCTTCCTCCTCACATACCTCCCCTCCCTGCCAGTTGCACCCCAGCAGCCCTACGGAGGTAACTGTTCTAACAATCCCTGCATGAAGCCCACTGCTTCCTCTCTGTTGTCTTGTGCAACTCACCCTTAGGATCACTCATTGCACTGTCAGTGTCCTGGTCGCACTGTGTCTCTAATTGCACCTGTGTGTTGCACTGTGGTGGCCCAGGTCTCTTTTTTTACTATACCTTACTTAATGATACGTAAGAGGAGCCAGCACAGTAGTTGTCGCTGAGTTTTGATCATGGATGCAGGGGATTGACTCAAGATTAATCTTCTCCCTTTGCTCACCTTTTATGTTCAGAAGAGTAACCAGTATCCTTACACCATTGTTTAGTGTATTATGATTGACTAGAGGTGACTACTTTTTATTTATTTATCACTAATTATTATGAAAACCAAAACAGTGCCTGTCACATGTGATGGCAAACTGTGTGTGTTCATCTGTTTTCACAGACGCTCTACCTTTTAGCAGAAATAACAACAGCCAGATAAAGGATGGGCATGGTTGTTGGCTTGCAAAGACGTCTTAGGACATAATCTGCAAGCTAAAGAGTTAAAGGCATTGTGGTTTGGCTCTGTGCGTATGTGTGTGAATGTGCTGTAAAGCACTGTCCTGTTGTTGTGACTCAGGAGGTAGAGCGGGTCGTCCCTAACTGGAAGATTAGCAGTTCGATTCCCGGCTTGTCCAGTTCATATGTCGAAGTGTCCTTGAGCAAGACGCTGAACCCCCAGTTGTGTGAATGGGCAAATGGAGTGAAAGCAGGTTGAGTGTGCTGGAGTGCATAGAAAAGATCTATACAAGTGTAAGACTATTACTGTTTGCTGGTGTTCAGGAACACATAAAGCTGTTGGATGTCTTTAAGATGTCTGGCAGCAGTGGTGACCAAACCCTCCTCACACGACCGCTCGTTTGTTATAGTTATTGCTTCACCTGATTGCTGCGAGGTGCTATCACTTCCTGTCTGTTGCCTTCCTCACTTTTTCTGTCAGTGTTCACTTTTTCCACCTCTGTGTCCTTCCATGTTCATGTCATGCTGCTCCCTCTACTGGTTTGCATTCAATCATTGCTGGATTTGCTCTGTGCTACGTGAACCATCAGTGTTAGCAGAGTGTACTCACCCTCTTTGTAGCTGTGAGGCTGTGCTCATTTATAGTAGACAATAAAGACGGTATGAGTGGATCATAGCAGCAATACAGAGGGTTTAATTACTGTTCGATTGGACTGCTAGATGTCGGTTTGTATGGAGGCAAACAAAAGCTGGTATTTTTATGTAGAACTAAGTGGTAAACTGTAAAATTATAATGTTCATTGGTCCTGTCATAGCTTTATTCTTTATGCTGAAAAAGAGAAAAATATTTCCTGTACAACATGTAGGTATGATTAGAATTTTTGATATCAGAGTCGATAATGATAGCTGTGTTTTTGTACTGGTACCAGGATAAGGTATTTACTGAACATGTTTTATTAGGGATGGCACAGTATGACTTTTTCTCAATAAGACTGGATACACACAATGGCGTGTAGGATTTGATTCAATCACAGTACAATTAGCAATTCAATGAAAACAGCGTATGAGTAGGTGCGGAGTACTTGTACTTTATTCCTCTTTTTCCTCCTTTCTAGCACTGGTTTGATTATGTAAAGAACAAACAGATATACTGACTTACATTCTGTTAGACTATCTGATTTACAAAAAATATGAAGTCACTGGTGCGTGAGGCCATGCGATATGTATCACTAGACAGAGCAATACATCTTGTGACGTTTTTGTATCGCGATATATTGATTTTTGATATATTGCCCCATCGCTAGTATTTTTGCATTTTACGATTATATTTACTTGAATGAAGGAAATGAGCGTGTAGAAAGATAGGTAATGGCTGTGGTCAGTGCCCTAAAACCCTGCCCCACCAATGCAATACTTTATATATACAGTATGTGTATATATATATACATATATGACAGACTTCCTGTAGACAGAACTATTGATCTGTGCAATCTGTACTATACACATGCTTTCGAATGAATCGCAACATGAGTGGTTGATGCTAGTGCTTGCTTCATTGTGTGTTTAGTATTTCTTCTTTTCCCTCACACCTTTAGGATGCAGAAGGTCACTGAATGTACTTTGTATTTCCCCCTCCTGCTGCCTGTCTTGCTGACATGTCTGTCTTCACTCCTGTGTCTCTCTTCTCTTCTCTTCTCTCCCTTGTCTACCTGTCTGTCTGGTGTTTTGCCTCCCCTTCTCTACCTGTCTGTCTGGTGTTTTGCCTCTGAGAAGGAGTATCTAACAGTGGGCCAGTTAAATCAGATGTATGGGATGCCAAAGGTGGAATCATCCCCAACCTCCCCGCTTCGCCAGCCCCTGCAGTCGGGAGCAGTAGACACTGCCTTCTCCTGCCTTCCCTCTCCTCATGGCTCCCCCTTACCTCTCTCTGTGGAGGTGTGTGCTGGCTTTCCCTGTTCTTCCCCTGCTAACCGTTTGTGTGAGCGCTCTTGTGTTGAGGGTGTAAGATCGTTTTTAAACCAAAGCACTGGTTAAGTCATCATACTTTGCTGTAATCCATTCACAGTGTCTGGGGTATTTGATAAGATGGATCAGAGCTTCATTAGTTATCTGTATCCATTCTGATTCTCAGATGTACAATATGTCTAAATTACATTCCCAACAGAAACATCCTCAAATCATTTTTGTTGTAGTGTTGTCGCTCTTTTCAGGACAGTGAACTAACACTTAAATGGGATGACCCTGTGACTCTATTCTTTGAGTTACTGTGGTTTGCGCTGCCATCCATGTACTTCTCTCACCCTCACACAAAAAAGGAAATCTGTTTTGACTTGCTTACAGATGTAGAATCACTCTATATTGCTTCTAGTGTTACTGGGTAGACCTTTTTTCTGTCATTGCTGAAGCCCATGATGACTCTAAACCCTGTGATGTTGTCAGTCTGGAGCTGTCTGTTATAGTGCACATTTGCCTGAAGTCACTGACTCCTATTGTTTTCAAAGAGCTACTAAAAATGCCTCGGAGTCATAATGCCAATTTTCTTAATGTAAGGTGTATAGCATTTTCCCAGTCATTCTCTCTGTATCCTAATATTAGACTGTTGTGCCAGAAGTAAATTTGAGTAGATCACCTTTTAGTTTTTGCCCCACCCAGGAGACGAGGGCTGTGCAGTTCAGTCCTGTGGGGATTAGCATGGCAGCCATGTTAGTAACAACAGTTTTATGTGAACAGTATGTGTCAGTCAGCTGTTTAAAATGTGTTCCTAGACAATGGAGAGAGAGCAGATGGATGGTTGTGACTGTTGTGAAAAACAATAATGGCAACAAGACAACAAAAATAAATTGAGTGATATTATTGTAAATATATAGTAAAATTGAAATTATAGAGATACAGTAGGTATTTGGGTCCAAGGGAAGCTGAAGTAAAGTAAAACAGAAAATTAGAGGAAAACAATGTTCTTGTGATAAACCGGGTCATTGAAGTAGAAAATTAAAATGCAGACTAGCAGCTGGAGGGTATAGACTACGATGCAGCTGGCAACAATAATATATTGCAGATATTCAAGAACTATTTCCAAAGTATAAAACCTTTAATTGTGGCTTTTGAGAGGGTATAAAACAAATCTTTCTACTGTCCTTGAATGCTTTCTGATCTTTTCTTGTCTCTCCTCCACCCTCTCCCTGGTTCTCTGTGCTTTCTGCTGTACCAGTCTAAGGGCAGTAGGCCTCACCTCCCCAAGTTAGCTTTAGAGCAGTGGTACCAGGAGCTGATGGTCGGCTCCAGCCAGCTCTGTCCTCCCCCTCTGCCAGCCAAGTCTCTGTCAGGCCACAGGCCTATGCTGCAGGTAGAGGACCTTCTTCTTTGGCCCCATTTTTCCCTGTCATCCTTCTGCTGTTTCTGTAATGCCTCTGCTAACTTTCAACCTGTATGTTATACAGTTGCGTCAAAGAGAGAGGGGAAAACAAACCCCTTTCATGTCAGGGGTTTAAAAGTGCTGCATTCACACTGTATGAAAAGTTGGCAATGACAGTCTTCACCCTTGAGATCTCCTGAAAACTATAAGAAAACAGCGTAACCTCAGCTTTCAAGCGGTGAACAATTCTCACTTTAAGAAACTGTCATCACATATAAAGAGTGTCTTCAATTCAGTATGACAAATCAAAGGACACTGAATTAATGGATTAGACTGTGAACATGGCTCAGTGATACTGCAGGTCGCTGCTGTGTGCCCGAGCCTTTTATGGTGATTTGAATTTCAGCATTTGCTTTGGTGTAAAACATGAAGTCGGTATCTGTGCTTCAGGTGGAATAAAGCTGAGAAGCTGCCTGTAGCAGACGTCCACAGAAAACTTCAGTCACCGCTTAGAATGTGTGAACATGTTCAAGTCATTACTTTGAAGTCACTCCACACTGATCTTATGGTACAGGATGCAGCATTAAGTTAAGTGGCCTGATCAAAGAGCTGTTCAGTGCTGCTGATTCTGACTCGTGTTTTCTGTTGCCTCTGATGTTTTTCATGCAGGTCTGATACTGACAAACTGTTGATTGGGACTTGATCTATTCCTTCCTGCTTTTTATTTATTAACACCAGTAGTGATCAGTAGCACTGCAGCACAATGCTATCCCTGCTTTTAACCACTGTTTTCCAGTAGGTGATGCAACTTGTCCATGGTGGACTTTCAATTGTACTTCTAACATGATTCCATCTGCTCATTGACACATATTATCAACACTCCCTAATCTCCATGGCTTGATCTTGTACATTTCCTCCCCAGGTTTTCCGCTCCAAGCTGGACAGTGATCCAGGCCTGTCTCTTCATCAACCCAAATCAGGCTCTGCATCCCCTCTGCAGTACGGAGCAGCAACACTGGGGCGCAACACAAGCTCCAGGGTAACAACACCTCTGAAGTCCATTTTCTTTGAGAACCACAGTTAAAAAAATCCAGATATTTTTTTAAACCCAGTACATGTACATTGATTCTGGTGCTGTCCTGTCCCTCTGATTCACCAGAGCCCCCTGCTGGTGGCCAACAGTACTGGCAGTCTGCCCAGGAACTTGGCTGCAACCTTGCAGGACATCGAGACTAAGAGACAGCTCGCTCTGCAGCAGAAAGGTAACTGACCTAGTCTGCCCTTGACTTTCACTCTACAAAAACCAAAGCGACACCCCCGAGTGCTGAAGCAGCAACAACTAACTGAAACCTACACAGATGTCCTACACCATTTACTCATGAATTACTATATTATAATTAAGGCATGAATTTTAGAATGATCATAAATCAATAATAAGTATATTGTGCAATAGTTATTCATACATTAAATAAGTACTGTACGTTTCATCTGTCAGCATGGAGGACAGTAGCTTCCAGCCAAGGGATCATGACCTCCCAAGGGATTACAATAGGAAAGGAGAAAAAAATATTTGCACCATGAGTTAATTATTTTTTCAGATGTTTTTTTTACATTTTCAGTCCTGTTAAAATTACTGTTTACCTTGTTGGTCATAGTATGCAGAGTATGCATTTGCATTTGTTGGCAATGGGACAGAAGTAGACTGTTACGGCAAGCCGCACACCAACAGAGCGACTGAACTCAGGAATAGGCAGGACTCAAACCCAGGTCAGAGAAAGATATTTATTAGACAAAGTATGGAAAGAAAAGGAGGTGGTGAGGATCAGACCGGTGTGGGTCTCAGGCAGTTGGAGCAGCTGAAATGACTGGACCACTGGAGGAGCCGCCCGGGGTCAGAGGAGAGGTTTGGCACTGTGTATAGAACAGAGAAGGAGATTATGAGGGGGGACAACAGGCAGATGAGGGTGTGATAACATAGAGCACAACACAGATGACCTGCATATAGGGAAATGCTGGTTCAGGGCAGGAGAGCGTGGCTGACTGGGAAAGAAGTCTTAGGAGGCAGGAGCTGGTGTGTAGGATGTGGAGTCTCAGTGGATGGCAGAGCAGGTCGGCGGCGGCCGAGAAGAAGGTAGAAGCTTGGATCCCAGCGCCGAGGTATGCAGACAGGAGCAAGCGCCTGCGCTTCGCTGGCCCAAGCACTTGACACGGACCCCAAACAACAATCTCCGACCGGCGGCAAGGCCCACAGAGATATAGGCGGCACCAGGTAACAGTGCAAACAAGAATACAAAGCCCTCTTCCGTAAACAGTTCAGAAAAACAAAACAAAGTACTCCTCGGTAGTCAGTTCAGAAAAACATAAAGTACTCCGCAGTAGTCAGTTCAGAAAAACATAAAGTACTCCGCAGTAGTCAGTTCAGAAAAAAAAATCATAAACAAGACAAAATAACCTCACTCAGGTCGACACAGTGGATAACAAGAATTTACCAGGGTAGTTCGATACCAGTGGACATCAGGATCCAGGACGTGTAATATGCGAAGTCGTCGGTAGAAGAATGAGAGATCATCTGGGGACGAGGACACACCAGCGCCATGCTTAAGTACGGTTCTGCTAATTGAGCGCAGGTGTGCCTCGCCGCTGGGAGCGTGCTCCTACGTGAGCAGGGGTGGAATCGCCGGCAGCCCCGGTGTCTGCTGCCGAGGTGCCGGGGACGGCCTGATCCGTGGACGTAACATAGACACTGCTTCATTTGAAGTGGTCACAAGCCAGAAAGTTTGTTAACCACGTATCTGGGTTAAGTTAACATTACTGTTCCTAAGATATTAACAGGCAGTAATTGTGTTTACAGTATAATACACAATTCATTTAATGTAGCATTACACTCTCATTTTCTCAGTGTGTTACTGTTGGATATTGTTAAGTGTTTCCCTGCTCTTCTTCACTTAGCTGTTTGTATGTGTGTGACATAAGTGCAGCTTTAGTGAGAATAGTGTTTCCTGTGTACCAGTGCTGTTTGACTAAAGGGACCAGAGCAAAGTTGTCTGGTGTTATAGCTCAGCTGGCCACTAACAGGTGCTGGGTTGGAAAGTGGGGCTGGTCTTGTATGCCAGCATTTGCAGTTCAGCTTTTCCCTCACGTCTGTCTGTGTCTGTGAATGTGTTTCTTCCTGCACTGTTGCACCACAGAGCCCCAGACCTCCGGACTGAACACCATACAGGAAAGCTCAACAGGTAGATGGATCACAGTGCCCAGGAGTTGATGATTTCTTACATTTTCTTCCTTTTGTTCAGTGGGGTTCATCCTGATTTTTATCTGCTGTCTCCCCATATGTTACATGCAGTGTCTGAAATTCACTGTTTTTCCTCAACTGCCAAGGGTCAACAAACAAACTCTGGCTGTTTTATTGCTTGATTAAAAACCCCCTCCCTCAGGTTTAATTCATCATTCAGATAAATTAGGTTTGTAGAAAGTTAACTGTCCAAACAGCAGAGAAGCAGAGGTTTAGATGCAGTCATGGGGCACAAAGCAGCATGATAGGCAGCCAATCGGCAGCAGGTCTTTAGACTTCAACATGGGTAAAGACCAAAGTCTTTATATACCTCAAAAAATCAAGTCTTATCCAAAAGTTAAGCCAGTCAGGTTACTTCTATTGATTTATCCATCAAAGTTAACATTCCCCAGAACTTGACACTTGGCGGTTGTTAATTTCAGACCCTGTTTTCACCCCCCTCTCCCCACCTTCATCCTTCTCTCTCCATCTTTTCCATCTCTGGTGTGTCATTAACTCTTCTCCCCAAAAGATTTCTTTTCATCTTTTCTTTTGTCTGCAACATCGAACGCTCTTTCTTCTTCCATCAATCTTCTATGAATGTTCCTGTTGGTGGACAATAAATCTTGCATGTTCAGTTCAGTGCACTTCTCCGTTGGAGTTAACAACCCAGGCATCTCTTTGCAGATGTGTTTGCCCATTGTCAGGTGCACAGCAGTATTGATTTGAAATATGAGAAGTCAGACAAGTACCTGTTCTGAACATTTGTTGCAGCTTATTGGTGATGAGACTGTTTGGGTTTTTGAGCTTGTGACTCTGACAGAGCACATACTTGTGGTTGCGTGGTGCATGGTTTATGGTCTTGTAGTTTGTGGGCTGGTGCTGGTTGTATATTTATTGAGTCTTAGATGACCTGCTCTAGAGCTAGCTCGTTGGCTTGTGTAGGAAACAAATGGACGTCTGCTGACTTGTCCATGGTTTTACTTGTAGGGTTTAAGTTGGACATTGTGCAAACCTCTGCCACAGATCAAAATCAGAACAAATTCACTGATCAGATCCCACCATCCTCCCTCCAGGTCAGCAGGTGATTGAAGAGCAGCGTCGTCGTCTGGCCGAGCTCAAACAGAGAGCTGCAGCAGAGGCTCAGTGTCAGTGGGAGGCACTCCATGGCTCTCAGCCCCACCTCATGACTTCCTCCTCCTCATCAGCCTCCTACTCGCCCGTCATTGCCTACAGCTCTGCAATGAGCCACAGCTCTGTAGGCCCCCCACCTCTGGTTCACCACTCCATCCTGCACCACCAGGCCCCATCGGCCGGAGAGCAACCCTATGACACGCTGAGCCTGGAGAGCTCTGACAGCATGGACACCAGTGTGTCCACTGGGAACAACTCGGCCTGCTCACCAGATAACATGTTCAGGTATGACAGAGGGTATGGCCAGAGGAGACTGGCCGTAGATCGGCTATGACTGATTAAGTATTCATCCTTATGAAAACATGAATCTGATTTCATCTGATTGTTTATATTAGTAATTAATATTAGAATATTGATCCTACGGATTGAATAAGTTTGAGAGGAGTGTATTAGAACACACAGCAGTAAAGGTGTCAGGAGATCAGCCTTTGACAAGTGAAAGATTTATTGTGGTATTTGGAAACTTTTGGAAATTATGAAAACTATTTGGAAACCCTGACAGGATCTGCACCATGTCTGTCCATACAAACATTGTTTTGCCCACTGGTCAGCCACAGTCGCAAGAAAAAGTAGTGGCAGTGTTTCCTGGTTGTTCTGCATAAATTGGTCATGAAATATGATCTGATCTTCACTAAAGTCACAAATATCAACAAAATATTTCTCTACTGATAAAACACAAACAGTCCTGATCTTTCATGTCTTTACTAAACACACCCATTAAACATACGAAGTGATGGTGGCAAAAGTAATGGCAACACCAGGCTTCTGAGGTCACTAAATGTCATCTGGAGTCAGGTTTCAGCAAACCTGGAGTCCAGAAAAGAAAAGCAACAGGACACAACAAACAATCAAACAGCAGTGAAGTACAGTGGAGGGAGCATCATGATGTGAGGCTGGGGATAATGTCAGGGTGGCTGTTGGCAAGCTGAAGCTCAGAACAAGCTGGGTGATGTAGCAGGGCAGTCACTCTAAACATTGAAGTAAATCTACTAAAACTGGCTTCAGAGACACAGAATCTGCCTTTTGGAGTGTCTCAGTACAATCCACAATCAGACATACTGTCTTTAAATGGAGATGATTTTGTACTGTGGTTACTCTCCATAGAAGTGGGCGCCCAGCCAAGATCACTCCAAAGGCACAAGGCAGAATGGTCAGTGAAGTAAAACAGTTCCCTATAGTAACAGCTAGACAGACAGCTTTTTTCTTTATTTAATTTAAATGGACATATCTGGTTGACTTAAAAAGCACACTGAGAGCCAGTGCACCAGGATCAAATTCCTTGATGATTCTGAACACACAGCACTATGTATGGCGGAAAAATAGAGAACCACATACCAACATGAAAACATCATCCCAACAGTGAAGTACGGTGGAGGGAGCATCCTGATTTTGGGGGAAAATGAATTCCCAAGTTTATCAAGGTATCCTGCAGGATAATGTCAGAGTGGCTGTTGGCAAGCTGAAGCTCAGAACAAGCTGGGTGATGTAGCAGGGCAGTCACTCTAAACATTGAAGTAAATCTACTAAAACTGGCTTCAGAGACACAGAATCTGCCTTTTGGAGTGTCTCAGTCAGAGCCCAGACCTCAACCAAGTAGAGATGCTGTGGAATGACCTCAAGCCGTTCACACCAGACGTCCTTAGAACATGGCTGAGCTGAAGAAGCTCTGTAGGAAGAATGGTCCAAAATTCCTCCTGAACGTTGTGTATGTCTTGCTTGAGGTTACTGCTGCCAAAGGTCTTTCAGCCAGTTATTAAAACACAGTTATTACATTTTCCACCATTACTTTGCATGTTTAATGGGTTTGTTCAATAAAGAAGAAAGCTCATGACTGTTTGTTTTTTATCAGTTTAGAAATATTGTGTTGTTGATATTTGTGACTTTGGTGAAGATCAGATCACATTTAATCACCAATTTATGCAGAACAACCAGGAAATTGCAAACAGTGGTGCCATTACCTTTTTTTGTGACTGTATATTCAAAACTGGCAACTGGACATAGATGTGTGTTTAAACACATCAGCTCTTTCAGCTCAGTTCCTCAGGCAGACTGTTCTAACAGTAAAAGCTAAAAGCCATCTCAACCAAAGTCCTTGTCCAGCAATTTGGATCTAAGAGGTCATATTGGTTTATATTGGTGTGAGAATGATTTTAAAAACAAGGAAAAGCAACAAAAACAAGTTTAATGATTATGAAAATGGACAAGTAGCTGGTGTAATGACTTTAAAACAGGTGTAATGTGCTCTCTCCTTCTGGTCCTGGTCAACACTCAGGCTGCACAGTTCTGGCCCAGTTGTAGGTGATTAATAGTTTTTTGGGTCGAACAGAGAGGAGAGTATTACAGTAGTCCAGTCTGCTGGATATAGAAGTCTATATTAATCTCTCTGTGATGCTCAGAGAGAAATGGCTGTGCTGTAGTATTTTTGAGGTGATTAAAAAAAGGTGTGGTGACAAATGCCTCATAAGCCTTATGGTTCAGTTCTTAGTGAAAGAACCCAACATTTCTGGTTTGTTGGCTCGGGGTCAGTCCTGGAGAATTACATTTTTGGCCCATCTCTCTCTCTCTCTCTCTCTCTCTCTCTCTGAGCCTTTGACTTTATATCTAAAATCTCACTTTTATCCTGGTTGAGCTGTACAAAGCTTTGTGACATCCAGGCACTGATATCTAAAATACAATAAATCAGTATCTATGAAAAACTGTCTGCCAGAGAGGTAAGAGAAAGACCAGTTCCAGTCCAGTCATCTTGTGATCTCTGTTTCAAAAGCATTTCTAACTTATTGTTTGCATTTCAGTCTGCAAAAGTAGAAGCAGAAGCCACAAGCTGGTTGCTAGCGTCTGTAGCAGGATTTACAATTGTGTTCAAAACCGCTCTGTGTTTCTTATGTCGTGCATATGACATTAAAAAAATAAAATTACCAAACGCATCAGCCAAAAAGTCATCACAAAGTAGAAACGTCCTTACCACGGTGGGTTAGAACTGCAGTTTGTCCACACACGTGTGTGCACACCCACAGGCAGCTAATGCTCCAACTCCCAGTCTGCTCTCCACCAGTTATCGCTTTATCCACAGGTCGGCTAATTTAGAAACCATCTGTTTAGGTGTCTACAGCAGTGTTCGCCACAGCAGGTTCTCAGCAGTTCCCATTGTTCATATGTCCTTTACAGCTCTCTAGGGTCAAATTTCAAAAACTGTTAGGACTGTTTTTTGAGATGACTTCAGTGGGATTTGTTCTGTAATGAACAGTGCACAGCAGAGACAGGAGGGAGGTTTATGAGCCATGTTTGGCAAAGACATTTGCCGTTTCATAGCTGTGAATTAGTAACACTGGGTGGTAAGTAGCTGTTGTTCCACTTTTTAATAATAGAGAATAATGTTCAAACTCCCTAACTGATCTCATTTGCTCCTATTCGCTTGGGTATGTTAAAATGATTCAGTTTGTGGATTCAAAACAAAGAGTAGCACATGTCAGCTGTTTATAAAGCTACATCATCTGAGGATGTTGTGATCTGTTGGCAAATCCTACAGATTTACAAATGGGATACTGACTTTGAGTAGAAAGACCCGCCATTACAAAGTTATAGTGAGAATTAGGGACTTGAGCATACGGTTTGAGCCCTACTGTGAAATAAATGAGTTATATGGTCTTTATGTTTAACTAGTTTGTATGTGGTAACTGCATTGCTGTGTTTGACATCAGTATTGGAGCAATGGACACACTGAAGATTGAAGAGATGGAGAAAATGCTGAAGGAGGCGCAGCTGGAGAAGGCCAGACTTATTGAATCCCGGGTAAGACACAGAGAGCGTGTTACAGAATCGCTACTCGATTTACGTGAATAAATATATAGTGACTGATGAGAGTTCTTGCAGTGTTCCCATCAATAGCTTTGAATTGAGCACACATTTGAAAAATAAAGGTTCATGACAGTAACTTAGTCCTGTCATTCATTTTTATTGGCCTCCATATTTCAAACACCTTCATCTCTGTGTGCCCTGATGGAGAAGTTGAGTCGGAAACAGAGGTGGCTAAAGATTATCTGATCAATTTTCAGGTCAGAATTGTTCTCTCCTGCATTTCTCTTGTTACATTTATCTTTTCTGCACCGACCGTCCTTCCACTCAGTTATATTCAATTTTTCACTATAAGTATGTGTCTCGTTTTTAAAAGTTATATTTATTATATTATTTTAATTGATTTAAACTAGAATTCATTTACATGGTCCTCCTTCTGTGGTTGCTTCAGCGTTTTTGTCTTGTTTTGTGTTCTGTTTCAACAATTGAGCTCTTTGGTGGAGCTGCATAGAGGCCAGCGGTGTGAGTTTGTGAGCAGCTCCCAGTAGGGAAAATTGTACATAAATATATGAATGTGAAGTCAAGTTGAAAAAAAGAGAACGTGCCCCCTGCAGACTCCGTTCACTGATCAAAGAAATATTAAAGAAGGCACTCTCCTTCAGGAACGAGAGAGCCTGGCTCGCCGACAGATGCTGGAGGAGGAGAGGAGGAGAAGGGAGGAGGCAGAGAAACGACTGCAGGATGAAACTTTCCACCGGCTGCAGCTCGTGGAGAAGGAGGTCAAGATGAGGGCCAAGAACTTCTCTCAGGTCAGGAAGATGAGACACAGCTGAGTCTGCATGGTAGAACGGTTTCTAATTAGCCACCTGCCTGCTGAAGACGATGAAGGGTTTCACACATGTGGGCTCCTGCAGGTCTTTTACACTGGTGCTGCTGCTCTTAAGTCTTAAGTTAATATATCTTAATATCTTAAATCTTAAGATATTTTGTACCAGTATTCACTATTACTACATATAGAAATTAGACTATTTTTAGTATTTACCTCTCCAAACAGCCTTTAGACCACCACAGAATAAATAGGCAAAGATGCTAAAACATATATGTGTGATCTGAATATTCCATTGCTTCACAGTGATCAATTCACTAAATTTGAAACCAATGAAACTGTGTCATATCCATCCTATTAGTGGTTATTATATGAAGCGATACTGCCCCTAATCTAATCATGATAGTTAACCCTCCATGTTGTACTCGCTGTTGATCCTGCTATGATTTTTGTTGTTGTTTTTTTTTGTCTTGATCCAGGCTCGTCCTATGACTCGCTACCTGCCCATTAGGAAGGAGGAGTTTGACCTGCGCTCTCACATTGAGTCATCAGGCCACAATGTGGAGACCTGCTACCATGTCATCCTCACTGAGAAGATGTGCAAGGGCTACCTGGTCAAGATGGGAGGCAAGATAAAGTCCTGGAAAAAACGCTGGTTCCTCTTCGACCGCCTCAAACGCACCTTCTCCTACTACGTTGGTAAGAAGAGTTAAGACCCAAGATGCCACATGCTCATTACTGTGGTGTTTCTGCTCACATCCCATCAGGCTCTGGAAGATTTGTTTCTCCTGGCTGTTTGCATTTTTCAGACAAACAGTAGATCATCAGTGTGATGTTCACACTCCAAAACACAATAAACATTTTCTGGCCTGGCAACATTAAGGTTATAAACATCCCATAATGCATCACTCTCTAGGAGCTGATCTTACTCCACTACTAAAGAAAAACTGATGTTGTGAACACAGAAACGGTTAGTCCTCAAATATCAGACACCCCCACTTTTTCAAGAGTTCAGTTCTTCTTTTCATGCCAGTCTGGTTGCATATGATTGAATATGAATTTGAAAACACACATCTGGTAATGGCTACACAAATTAAAAATGCAGATGAATGTTGTATAGTACTGTATGTTATTGGCTTGTTAACACCGATGCTGTAAAGTGTATGTATTTTTATACTATATAGTTGGTAGTATAGTTTTATTTATAATTGGTTGAGTTCCATCATTTTGTATCAGCTCGTCGTACTGTATGCTGTGTATGAAAAATCTTAATCTGTAACATGACTAGTAACTACAGAGATCTGATAAAATGTAGTGGAACAAAGATACAAGATTTCCCTCTGATTTGTTGTAGACAGTATAAAATAGCATGAAATGGAAATATTCAAGTAAAGTACAAGTAACTTCAATGTTTATTTATTGTAAATACTTGAGTAAATCAAATAATTTACATTCCACCAGTGATGACATTAACTTGTAAGGTCTTCCTGTTCATTTGTCCAGCCTGTGTTAACAGAGGCTGTGCACCACTAATGTGATGCATGAAATTCCTGTGTTAGACTCGTGTGTGGGGAAACCCCGGATTTATTTTGTATTACACCAGTCAGCAACAGACAGAAGCAAAACTTTATAGCAACTCTATGGAAATGCCCAAGGTAACAAACTGCTCGCTACCACTGAACATGTCAAGTGGCAGAAATTTCTTACCGTGGAAGAGTGACAGTCAGAACATGCGTCCTCCAGACCTTGAGCAGCAGCACATGTAGCATGTAGCGTGCACGCCCGTGTAATTAGATCTTGTGCTGTGAGCTCTGGGACACTTTTTTGCTGCCAGGCCTTTGAAGTCCTCAGAAGGTTCCGCTTAAAGCTGCTTAAAGCATACCTTGTTGAAAGTGAGCCAGGGTGAGGAGGTGTACTGAGATTACTTTGGCAGTAGTTAAAATGCGCACAGCGCTGCGCTCACTGAGGAGCCTGCTTGAGATGCATCACTTGCCCTTGTTTCTTGACCTTGAACAATGAGTAACGAGAGGTGACGAGCATAAGTCATGAGCGCTGCTAAGCCACATGAATCAGCCTCAACCAGTACAACCAGAGTTTGGGGAATTTGCAGATGCAGTGAAATGAGATGCAAATGCAGGGCTATTTGAATGCTAAAGAGGTCATTAGCAGATAATAGCTGTGTATTAAAACCAAACTTATTCCTCGAAATGAAATGCTGCGTTTTCTACCTACTACTCTTAAGTTGGCTAGTGGAGTGTTTGTGCCTGGAGGTAGAGAGGGGTGCTAAGTTCCCCACCGGTTCCTTACTGCAGTTCTGCAGTGGCTGATGAAATAAACTGCAATGATGTACCAGAGTAGCGTAAGAATGCAGTCAAGTCTGAAAATACAATGAGAGCACCATTGGTTTAAAAACAAGAAAAACTGCTGTGCTTGTCTTTTTCCATCTGTCATCACAAACCATAAATTGGTCGTGATCAAAGGTAGATTTTTTTTTTTTAATGACCATTTTGTCTGTTTTCTCTTGTCGTTATTCTAGGTGACACACGTGATGCGATTTGGCTTTTCTAGCCAAGAAAAGTCTGTCATTGTCAATCGATTTTAGTCTTTGACCAAACCCCCGTTGTTTTCTTCCCCACAGATAAACATGAGACCAAGCTGAAGGGTGTGATCTACTTCCAGGCAATAGAAGAGGTCTATTATGATCACCTCCGCAGCGCCACAAAGGTGGGCTTTTTACCGTCACTCTGAAAAGAATCATTTTCTGTCACTGATTTCACTGTTTATTTTATCCTACACTCTTTTATTTAAACCTTGTCTGTGCACATTCTGTGGTTCGTCTCTTTTCTCTCTGTTTGTGCTTTTGCTTTGGTCGGCGGCTGACACAGAAGGGATTTTTCAACTTGAATATGACCAGTGTATGTATCCACACTCTCTGTGCACCCACTTAACCCCACTGAACGCTGTGTGTCCAGACTGTTCCTGGTCAATAGGGAACAGAAGCTCGAGCACTGACTGTGCATGGTTAATAAATGTATTTAGTGGCCAGAAACCTAAAATGAGCACTGGCTTGATCCGTGTCAGTGTGTAACTTAAAATGCTAATCCTGCCTGATCCTTCTGTCTATCCCAGTGATCCCAGTTTAACCCAGTGGGGAGTGGTTAAAAAACAGGCACTTCCTCATTCATATGCTTCTACTCTAGCAGAGTTGCTACAGTTTTTAGATAGTTTTTGTATTAAATGTTAAGAGTAGGAAAATCCAGGTAAGGACAGTTCTTCTTGTAGTAATTTTGAATCATTTTACGATTTGAGATAAGTTAATAAATTAAATTTGATCTCCTCTCTCACCATTTAAAACTAAATTTGATCTCCTCTCTCACCATTTAATGATTTTCATAGAACCTTCTCTGCTCAGGTCGTGGTATCTTTGGTGTACTCTGTGGCCATGTTTCTGTTGTTTACCATCAGGGCTACTTGCTGCTTGTCTTGACCCTTACTTCTTGTCCTTTTTTTTGCATTTCCAACATAAAGCCGAGCTGCTGCCTCTGTGTGTTTGATGGCCTGTCACAATGCACCGCACTTTGACTAACTGTGTGCCTCTGATCAACTCTGGAACTTTGATTTTACTTGTAATTTCCAATGTCACAGTGCGGAGAGAAAAAACTAAGTCTGGTGCACTTAGCACAGACTGTAGAGAAGAAGTGAAAGATGAGTGGACTGTGTGTAAAGATGAAACAAACCTTGTAGTTGTCTTGTAGGTTGCCCTTACAAAATGATAAAAAAATGTTACAGTATAGATAAAATACCCGTAAAAGTTAATTCTGAGCAAAGCAGCGATAGACTGCTATATTTTTGACACATGAATTCATTTACATTACTAGTGTCTTGGGATTAATGCTCCAGACAAACAGTTCTTTGTGCTGAATTCAGTAAGAAAAATTCCTTGTTTTCAGTGCGTCTGTTTATATTACTTAGGGCGGAACTAATCCCTGTTTGTGCCTCTGGTGTGTTGCCACTACATTTAAGTCACGGCATTTGTTCTTTTTAGAAATAACAACCTTTAAAAAACCCAAAGTTGATTAACAATATTGATGCTTTTCTGAAGCACTTGTTTCAGAACGTCTTCAGGCTCTTTCACAAAGTGAAAACATGTTTTTTGAATTTTTAAACATCAAAATGTGAAATCTCTGCAAGTATTCTGACCCTTGTCACTTGCTTCCTATTTGCTTTATTTATCATTCAGAAGTGTCTTGAACCTGACTGGACATAGTTTAGAACGGTCCACACACAAAAGGGACCACATGGATGTGAGTGTTCCCAGTAGCTCTGTGGCTTCACTAATTGAGAAGTGGAAGAAGTCTGGAACCACCAGGACTCTTCCTAGAGGTGACTATTTGGCCAAACTGAGAAACCAGGCAAGAAGGGCCCTGGTCAGGGAGGTGACCAAGAACCCAACAGCCTCTTTAACAGAGCCTCAGCAGGCTGAGGTGACAATTCATCTCTCAGCATGACAGTGAGCTGAAGCACGCAGCCAAGACAACAATGGAGTGCCCCAGCCAAAGTCCAGACTTAAACCCCAGAGAACATTTGTGCAGAGACATGAACATGAATGTTCACAAACACTTCCTGTCTGGTCTGAAAATTGCGGGTCAGAAAATAAAACACGCCAAGATGCTAAAAACACCTTGGTGCTAAAATGCTTCATAGAACTGAGCAGAGTTGTAACAGAGATTTGTCACTAAGAGCATGCCATGTCATTTGACTTAATATACAAATAAATAATAAAAAATAGGATTCTGCAGATACTTTTCATCAGAGCAATAAGACTTGTTAAGAGACCTGGGTTTTTTAAAGACTGGCAGTTAAAAAAAAAAAAATCAAAACAATTTATAAAGTCTAGTTAGCTCTGTCTTGACTCTATGTAATGATGCACAGTGCTGGGTGCTAGGGCAGAAAAACCAAAACAGCATTTATTCCATTAAACAGCCAAAGTTTTCCATTTTAACATAGGCTGATGCTGTAATTATCAAACATCGAGTGCCTGTGTCAAATGTGTCATTTGAGTCAGTTAAATCAAAGGTCTCCCCATTGACAACTAGTGTAGCTCTGATCTCTACTACTGCAATTATAAACTGTATACTGGACTTTGTAAAAGGTCTAAATAGGGAACAGTGAAAAAGCAGCAAGTTGGTTGGGCATTGGGACTCTTAAGTTGCACATGAAAGTGTCATTCTAGTTGTCTCTTTGTTTTCCTCGCCTTCAGAGCCCCAACCCTTCCCTGACCTTCTGTGTGAAGACTCATGATCGACTGTACTACATGGTGGCCCCCTCAGCGGAGGCCATGAGGATCTGGATGGATGTTATTGTCACAGGAGCAGAGGGATACACGCAGTTCATGAACTAAGAGAGATGCACAGTTGCTGAGAGTGCAGATGATGAGCAGATACGGCAGGGACTCTCCCACCACAGACTCTACAGGCCCTTCCTGTTTCCACTCTACAGTGAACATTGCCTTGTTTGTTATTTTTCTCTTTTAATCTCACAATTTGATTTTACTTTGCAGATGTTTTCACCTTCACATTTTTAATGTGATTCCATTTGGATTGAAAAAGGAAGCCCTTAGCAGACACACACACTTATACACACTTCTGTACATAAACCAAAATGTATACCTGTCAAAGACTTTCAAAAAGCTTTTCTATATTGCCAAATGGAGATCTTGTAGTTACTGTTGAACCTTTTGTATTATTTGTTTCCTTTGTTTACTTATAGAGAAAATTACCAAATGGCATAACACCAGTGTTTTGTTTCAATGTTCCATCATGACTATGCTCAGTTCAGACAAAGAGTTTAAAAGAATCTCCAATCAAAGGGTGTAATCATTTTAGAAATACTTGAGAGAATCTTACTCAAAATGTGGTACAATCTATAAGAAATAATAGAAATCAACCAATCAACGGGGGCTTTGAGATGATCTAAGAGTCTAGCACATTTTTAACAGTTAAACACAGCAAAGCATGACATCTTCCATGTCCACAACAGTTACTTCACCTCAGTGCTGCTCTTAGACGGGAAGAGGCACTAAACAACATTATGTAAATCAAGGTCAGCAAAATGTATACAGCACATTAAGGTATTCAGCGCTACAACCTAGTCACATTACTTCTCAAAGGCTTACCAAAGTAATTTTGGGTACTGTGTTAGCTGCTGACCCACCGCAGCTCAGGAGTTCACTCTGTTTTCTTTATGGTTTGACCAATATGGAATTTGAAAAGTCGGTACTGATATTAGCACTGAAGCTTCTATTAAACATTACATGTATTTTCTTCAATATTTAATGTATTTCCATTATTAATAATGTACTCCACTAAACCTAGAAAAGTGAAAAACCTTCAGGATCTGGATACTTTGAAGGAAAAGTTTGATATTTTGGGAAATGCAGTGTTCCTATTTACCATCTACAGCCACAAGACAATTAGCTTAGCATAAAGTCTATGAGCAAGCAAAAACACCCTGGCTCTGTCTCAAAGTAAAAAACAAAAACAAAAGACATTGTGGTTCAATATTTTTTGGCTAGGCCACTCTAGTCGACCTGCTCCGTCTTCATGTTAAGCTAAGCTATACGATATGTATTAGCTTTATTCTCTAAGCTCTGGCTGCTTTCCTACCAGAAGTTAAATAAGACTGATACCGCTCTTATCTGTATGCTAAATATGAAACTACAGACAGCAGCTTGTTAGCTTGGCTTAGCACAAAGTCTGGAACCCAGGGGAAACTGCTAGCCTTAAAAATTAACATTATAACTTGCTTATATTGGGAGGCATATATTTCATCTTTTGACAAAGCCAAACTAGGCATTCCTATTTTCAGTTTTATGCTAGGCTAAGCTAATCAAACTAGCTGCTGCCTCATATTTAGTGTATGGACACCACAGTGTTATCAGTCCTCTTTCTATTGAGAAAGTATATTTTCCAAAATGTCACACTATTTGTTAAAAGTAAAAGTCTGACATTTTGAGTAATACATTTCATCTATCACTTCATGGACAGCTTTGGAGCTGTTTTTTTCCCTTTTTGATAAAGTGGTTTGTATCAAGTTTTTTTCATAACCTAAATGCTTATTTCTTCAAATTTCTACTTTTTATTAATTTACTGTGTAATAAAAAGGTGGCCATTCCAGCATATCAGGTGAGGACTCATCAGATGTTGTGTAACACTGAGGTTCACTCCCAATATTGGTCTAACCATAGTCGCCACATTTTCAGCATTGAACAGGAATATATCTCAGTTTCTGAATGATGCCATCATGTTTCCAACTTCAGGTGCCAACTGCATCATCAATCTATGTGAGCACACAAACAAAAGAAACCTCTCTGTTTGCCAAGTAGCAAACCTGATGATGTGACTGCACAGCTGGGAAACAGCCATCATCACTGCCAGCCTACAGTAAATCAACAAATACTAGAGGGCGCTATAGAGACCACACTAAAACAGGACCCCACAGGATGAATACATACTAATGCAATTCAGAACTGTGCCTTGATTATATGTCATTACTGATGTGTCTGCGGCCAGCACGGCTTTGCTGAAAGGCTACAATCATACGAATGCATTTTTTTGTGTTTGAGCTGTAAAGTTTTATACTTTATTATGTGGTTGTCTGCCTGTCATTATTACAGGCAGAGATACCAGAGGCCCTGATCACTCTGGGGATTAACTTCATTTATCACATTCTGTTCAAAATACCTAATATATCCAGTTATGTTAATGTCATAATGACATTATTAGTCATGATGAGTACTAATCCATCTCTTAAAACAGTTGAGCGTCTGGAAGCAATGTTGATGCAGTCACAGTGATGTCATTAGCATTTTTTTTGCTTATGTTTGGGAACTACAAATTTATAACAGAAAGCCTGCACCATCTTAAACTACTCTGCTTCAGTTTTGAATATTCATTTCTTGATTTGCAAAAGTCTGTATTTGGCAGATTGCTGGATTATATTGTACAGTATATTATAACAATTTCAAACTCGGTATTTAAAACAGCAAACAACAAAATCTACATTTGCTGCCAAATCACTGCATTCCATCATCAATGACAAAGTCATACTTAAGAACTGCACTTCCTGCTTTAATCCCCACTGTGAGCCGAGCTGCATGAGGATGGACGAAGAAATCGCATATCTCCAGCTTTAATGTACTGTAACGGACCAGGGCTCATCTGGTGTCTTTGTTGTCACGTTGATCATCGACAGATTGTGAATCTATTGATTGGCCATGAACTATTTGCGATTATCAGATCCCGGAGGCTGTTTCATGTGTTGGTACAGTAATGTTAATTTAAGGATGGTATGCCTGAGATAGTAACATATTTACTTCTAAAACAGTGAAGTAGAAAACTAGTGAAAAGACCTTAATATATTGTCCCCTTTGCCTTTTAACATGTGCAAACCAAACTATTCAACACTGGTAAGGCTGTTAAGTCATGTCTGTTGATTGTGTTGTTCCCTATGTTGTAAAGAGGATGCCTGAATGAAAAAATTATCTTACTATTGAAATGAAACAGTACTGTTTAAAAAGAAGTACAATTTTTAACTTTTGTCATTTTGAAATTTTATTGTCAGTTGCATTTCAAATTGTATGGTAGTGATGCAACAAACAACTTTCTTTTTTTTTTTTTTTTTTTTACTGAAACCATACTTCATCACAGAGAATTTTTTTTCTAGAAAATAGTTTGTGTTTCATACACACAATTAGTACTCGGACCATACTGTGTTATTGGTACCCTGTGTGTCACTTTCACAAATGGATTTATGGTCAAATCTATTAAAACCAGAAATGTTACAGAGGGCTGCCTGCTTTACTTGAATGCAGTGGGTTATAATGTGAAGGTTCCAGTAGGGAGAAGGGAGATGGCAGTGACTGCCTGATGGATTCTCATGCAGACTAGTTACTTTTTCATTACCAACAGTCAGAATTTGATGACAAGGACACACCTACCACGTAACAGAGCGTAGAACAAAAACAATCACAAGTTTTAAAAAAAAAGTTAAAACTAGGTCCTAAAATTACACAAAAAGTGGACTTTTCTCACAACGACAAACAGTTTTAAAAAACATCTAGAAGCTTCTTTCTTTGACACAGTGATTCTTCTAACTGAGGAGACCCGTTGGGGCTTCGCAGGATTTTCATATGGATTTTTACAGCTCGTTGACGCCATCACCTGCAAGCAAAACAAACATGTTTGCATAAAGAGTCAGATTAAACTGAAGAATTTTTTTATTCACCCTTTAACCAGTTTTATGAAAAACATTTGAAGATTTTATGTTAATTTACTTCCAAATGAAACCTCCATTTGCTGGTGAAAAAGCCTTATGGAAAGTGGGACACTACTGTAAATAGGACAAGTAACTGATTCTCCTCTCTCTAGCAGCTGAGAAATGATTCCATGACTCTAGTGTACAGTAGATAATGGGGGACAAAAAGACTCTTAATAAAGGTGACTATCCTTTTTGTCCATAATCCATTATCTATACCACTTAATCATCAATGGGGAAGGGCTGAAGTCAATCCCAGCTAACACTGGGCGAGAGGCGGGGTCCACCCTGGGCAAGTCTCCAGTCTATCACAGGGCTGACATGTAGACAAACAACCACGCACACTTTTACGGACAATTCAGTCACCAATCAACCTAAGCTGCACATCTTTGGACTGTGGGAGGAAGTACCTGGAGAGAGCCCACGCAGGCACAGGGAGAACATGCAAACTCTGCACTGAAAGGCCCTGTGTCGGCCGGGGCTCAAACCTGGAACCTTCTTGCTGTGAGGTGACAGAGCTAACCACCGTTCCGCTGTGCCACCTTTTAGTCCATAATCTGATCTTTAAACTGTAGAGATAACAGCAGCTCCGTTCTCTTCAAGTGTCCCAGGAGGCCATGACAGTGACAGAGAACCAGTATCAACACCAAGAGCCCGACACCCAAACTCTTTACTTTTTCTCCATACTTGATGGTTCACATATACCTACAGTACTGTAATGAACCAGTGGGATGTGATAAGGAGCTTAACACTTTTGTATCAAACATGACATAAGTAATAAAATAGAATCAAATATGTCGACAAATGTGAAGAAATGCTACATACTCTCTGCACAGGGGGAGGTGTAGTCAGTGACAGCCTCATCACCTGGAAATACAATGAAATACATTCTTAGAAATACACAAGTGTGACAGTGAATGAGTTGAGAGGAAGTGGTATCACTGTGAGAAAGTCATTCATTTTCTTATTACTTATGGTAAAGAAGCCATATCAGTATCAGTCAAATCATGAAAAAAGTCAAAGAAAAGGATGTGGAAGGGAATTTTACTTGTCTGGTAGTAATCGTAGACTTTGACCACTGCTGGTTTCAGGTTCCTGACGGGCAGATCCTGCTCTAGAGTCACACTATATATCTTTTCCTCCTGTTTCTTCAGCTGCAACCACACACACACACACACACACACACATACACACACACACACACAGGCCCCTAATGAAATTACTGTAAGACTTTACTCGCTACTTCCTGCACCATTAACCCATAGTCATACAGTCATGGCCCAAAACACTGACTCCCCTGCATTTCTGTCAGATAACTCACCACTTTTTCCAGAAAACTGCTGCAATCACAAATTCTTTGGCAAATCTCATGCTTATTTCTTTTGTTTGCATTGAAACAATAAAGCAGAGAAAAAAGCCAAATCTGATCCATTCCACACAGAACTCCAAAATGGACTGGACAGAGTTATTGACACTTTTCAAAACCATCAGAAATAGTTGTATTCCAAGCAGGTGATGCTCCTTTAGTTTGTAATGAAACTCACCTGTAGCAACCAACAGGTGCTGGTGACATGGAAATCACACTGGGAACCAGTTACGATGGAGAAAAGTTGATTCAACCTTTGTGTCATGTGGACCACACTGAGCATGAGTTTAAGTTTTTGGCCATGACTGTAGCTGCACTATGAAACTGATGAAAAATCCTGACTCCATCTATGAAAACTTCAAGTTGTAGTTGGTTGTTGTGAACATTTTTTTCACATTCATCCAGCAAACATCGTCATTTAGTCAGTGCTTCCTACCTCATCTAAGTAGATGTTGATGAATCCTTCTTCCACATCCACACGTTTCACCGAGCTGTCCGTCTTGAGCTACAACAGCACAGACTACCATCAGTATAATCCAATACTAAAACATACTGCAGTACAGAACAGCAGGATCAGACACAAGCTGCAGGACACAAGTGTGATGTAAACAGTTTGCAGAAGACTGCCTGGTAACTTGGCCACTGGCTGCTCTGCTGAAGAACTGACCAGTTTCAGGGAGCTCCTGTCCAGGATGTAGCCAGATAGCAGTTTGATGTTGATGATCACCATGTTGGTCTCCTCCCTCCTGCCCTGGTACCTGTCAACACACACCACATGACAGACGCACTCACTCCAGCTGACGTGGTCTGTAGAAGTTTTGTTTTTTTAAGTTGACTTTTTTCCTTTTCAATTTAATGTGCAGATGAACTTCAATGTTTTTTAAATTAAATTAAAAGCTCACAATTTTACACCTGTACTCAGTGGTTCTGACCAAATGTGTGTCTTGGTCTCAGTACAATCTGTTGTAATTCTGTGTAAGATACCGTACAGTCCAGACCCTAAATATTTGGACAGTTACACATTTTTGCTCTTCAACACATTCAGTGTGAAATAAGTGTCAGCTGTAATGTGAGCTGGTTTAGATCAGCATTAAAAAGTCTGTGTCCAAAAAAGAGCTCATAGGCTGCAAACAATCACTCACTGAATATTAAATATAATAATTTTGTCTGACATCATGTGCATCTGTCCAGTTAGTTGTTTTTACCCGTAAACTGCTTTTATTTTATTTCAAATCGACTGTGCTGAAGCACAGAGTCGGTGTAGCTTCAAGGATATTTAAAATAGTAACGGAAAACTAAGCCTGAATCTGAAGAGCCAGTCTGACATGAACATGAAAGCTGAAAACTAAAACAGCCATGTATTGTTCAAGTGTGCAACATCCTCATGTTCAATTAAAAAAGGAATCGCACCCAAAAGCTGTTTACAGCTAAAAGGATTATAACAATGAGTTGTACTTGGTTTAATGCTAGCAAAGTCTGTGCTGGCTGATTTATATGAAGGTCATTTCAAAGCTCATTAGGTCTGACTTGTTCTTTCCTCGCAATCAAACAGCTGAACTGTTCCAGTCACCATAATGTTGACACAGTACAGCTACTTTTTGTAACAAATCATCAGTCATCACAGGGTAAATCTCAAGTCCCTTATTTGATTGTTCCTCTCTGGAACGACTTCCAGGTCGAGCGAAGCAGCTGCTGGAGGAGCCACAAAAGAGGATACATGAGGTCATCCTTCACAGAAGTCTTTTATAGACTGACATGGCCCTTTATGGAAAACCAGTTGGTGGCTGGTCACTTCAGATGATCGGAGGAAAGGACGTCTCATGTTTCCACGATTCCTCTCTCCTAAAGTTTTTTTCCTTGTATCTTACACTGGCCGCAAGTAAGACGCAAGTAAGGGAAGTGTGGATGCAATTAAGGGAATTGAGATTTCCACACAGACAGACAGACACACACACACAGTACCTGATGCGCACAAAGAGGATGAGCTGAGGCCTGCTGACGTTGCACTTGACCATGGTGATAGCAGAGATGTTGAAGGCAGAGAAGTCAGGGGGAGGGGGGATGTTGTAATGCATGGAGATCTATGGAAAGACATTATCACAGCATCTGTTCCCATTTCACACACTCACCAGATCATTGTGAAGTGACAGAGCACAAGTTTCATTGACTAAAATGTCAGGAGTTCTGCTCATAGAAGCACTTGCACTGCCATCAGGGTTTCCACCTTTATTCTGCATTAGCTTATTTATATCATCTATGATTTTAAAAAATCATGTTTATGTATAATGGAGAGTAGACGTTGTCTTGGGCGACTGAGTGTACCTGAGCCAGCACACAGCTCTGCCCCTGGGCTTTGACTGTGTACTCTCCGGGCACCTCATTCAGCTTCTCCTCCTGGTACAGCAGCCTGTTGCTCTGATCAACCGTGAACTCTTTGTTCAGGCCTCCCAAGGACGTCACCGTTACTGTAGTGCTGCCCTCTGCACTGTAGGTGGCGGCTCCGTACTTGGCCAGTGCCTGGAGGGCCACCACTGTGTCCTGAGCAGGGGGGTTAAATGTGTCATTACAATCAATCTAGGGTTAAAAGGTCTCACCTAAACCATCTACTTTATGTTTGTAGTCTGTCTTACCTGTGTGGAAGCGAAGCCACCGAATGTGTTCTGCTGCTGAATGAGCCATCGGACAATGCCAGAGGAGTAGTCCAAACCGAAGCCTGGCATGGCTGGACCAGAGAGCAGAGCCAGCAGCACGTAGGAGGTCAACTCCACCTCCAGAGAGTCCAGGCAATTGTCTGAGGACCCTGCTCTGTCCCAATGACGGGTGCCCCCTGCCAGTCAGCACAGCGGAGTCACCCATTAGGCAGCTGGCAGTGACTAGGTCTGTGCACTTCATTTACAATAAAGGATAAGTGGACATTCAGACTGCTCCTGTAAAAACAACTCCCTGGCTTCATTCACATATCCAGCCCACGCGTTTCCGTTGTGTTTTGGTTAGTCATGCTGCTAATGTTGCCTACTCTACCTTAGCACCAATTCCACCACCAGTAGATGGAGTAAAACACAATTTAACATCCAGTACTAACAAAAATGCATGGCATGTTGTTATGGTGCATTAACTGTGGCCCAAATTCAACAGTGAATGCTCATGCTAACAAGGTAAACAAAAGAGCCACATCCCAGTCATCCCTGATACATCATTGGTCAATGCATCGCCTTTGCCAGATGATGTCACCGCCTGCTGCAGTGAAAGCTGAACCAGATCCAACTTTTTTGCTGCACAGGGTTGTGTCATTGTGCCAGAGCTTAATTTGACATTTCAACTGCATTCAACACTTGGACTTGATCTCCAACACTATCTGTATTTCAACAGTTTGCTTCAACTACAAATTTTCAGCATTGAAAACATGAAATTTTTCCAAAGTTATGCCTGTTCATGCTGCTTGACGACAGCAACAACACATGCTGCTGATGCTTTCACTGTCTTACCCTGTGTGTTGGACTTGCGATGCAGGTATGTGATGAGCTCGCTCCGCCTCTCCTGGTCTCCAGCCAGAGTGAAGGTGTAGGACAGCAGGGCAGTGGTGTATAGGTTGTCCAGCTGGCCGCCCACTGCTTCCTTCAGACAGCGCAGACAGTTCTGCACCACTGGATCCTGTCACAAACCAAACAGAGACAACAATGACTGTGTGCAGGAGCACATGCAGAAGGGAGACAACAATGAGTGGAACCACTTTCTGTGGAGTGATGTTAAGGATGTATGCAAGACAACTTTTAAAGCAGTTCTCTGAGACACATGGAGCCCCAAGGGAGACTATTTCAGAGATGCACAATAAGAAACATGCCAACATCTCTACAAGGCAATACACTGAGATAACTAGTGAGTCCATTTTCTCAGTAAACAGCTCTCACATGAAATGTAATCGAGTCTTAATCTTCCTCACCATGACATTGGCATCCAGCTCGAGCAGGGCGGCAGTGATGTAGGCTGTCAGGGACACATCGTCACTCACTCCCCCCTACAGTAGAAGTGATCAGCAAAGCAGCAGCACAGCATCACACCTGTTAGCTTTACATCAGTTTTAGTTCTCACTCAGTGCCACCATTAAACTGGAAAACGCACTGGCACACTTACTGACACAATGCATGTAGGTAGCACACAAGTTGTTAGTCTTTATTCCACTGTATCTGAATATTTTTGGAGGGCTTGTGAATTTACTTTTTGGTTTTACTTTGTCGTTTGTCCATTTGACTTTTTCACATCCAGCCTTTTTTGTGCCAAACTGTACTGTGGCCCCGTGTGAATAAAAGAGTTTCACACTTCACTAAGCTGAACCAAGTCTCTAACCATGTTCATGAGCAATAGATTTTCAAAACAATCCTACATTAAACCATCTTGCTGCACCTTTGTATTACCGTCCTCCCCACAGTGCACTTTTATCCCGACAAAGAGCTGATGCAGTATTAAACTCCTTTTCTAAGCGTGTTCTGGGCATTCGATGACTTATCAATGAGACAACAGTAGAAAGAAAGCATGCACCAAAGATCCCTGTCCAGACTCAGGCTGGGAGTGTTGCAGACCTATGTCTTTAGACCCAGGGCAACCACACTGTGCTTTTTCCATTAACACACACTGCGGTGTGTTTTAGCTCCTGGTATCCTGAAACAGCTGTACTGAGCACTAAATGTGCATATTTAGCTCACTTGAACTAAACCGATTCAGTTATTGTTGATTGAAAGCACTGTTGCTTTATTACCTGTGCAATTAAAACTTTGATATAAATTAAGTTGTGCACAGTTGAACCTCTCGTCTTTCCTTGCCTGAGAAAAATAAACCCAACAACTATACTGATCGCATACAGATCTACTCTTCACTACACACAGTTTGTAAATTGCCAGAGAGCTAATACCACCAATAAAGGCCTGGGTGTCATTTTTGAAACTTGTACCTTGCATGTAAAAGCCGAGCTTGAGCTGAGATGAATCATAGGAAAAAAAATAAAAATAAACAAATAAACCCAGGGATGTGAAACCAGACTGTGTTCAGATGCATGTCTTTACCTTCATGCCATTGTTGAGCAGTTTCCCAACAGATCTGATACAACCATTAGACTGCTGACGCTCTGACAGCCACCTCTTTGCATCATTAATGTGCCTGGGATCCACGAAGATGTATGGTCTCGCCCCACCAAAGGACTTCATCACAAAAGAGGTCAACCTAGAAGGTGACACACAGAGTCATGAGAAGTTGGTAGAAAATAAATTTAGCCATGTGTGCCTCTGTTGCTCAACTCTAAATGAACCCAACTTCAGGACAGTGCCATAACATCACCCTGTCTCTCTAACACAGTGTTTAACTGAAGCTGCATCTACAACATAGTCATACAGTATGTCTCTGAACCCATATGGAGAATAAAGATGAGTTGGAGCAGATGAAAAGGCAGCAAAGGTTGGACATAATGCTTCTGGAGAAACCCAGGTATAGACATACTACACTATACTACACATACTTATTTGCATTAATTACTACAGAACTATGGATACAATGAAATGCATTAATACTTTTGGCTGGTTGGGGCATAAATAAACAAACAACACTGACATACAGTATTATCACCCTGTAGAGTTTAACATGTTAGCAAACCGTTGCTTATCTACACATCCAGCAATCACAGAGCAACATTAGTCATGTTTCTGCCAAGCCACGACATTTTCTCTCCTTCAGCAACGCCAAAGAAAAATATGGCTTTTAAGCTTTTAAATGTGCTACATACAGACGGGTGATAAATGAAATGGAAACCCAACATAAAGGGTCTCAGTGAGGTGCTGGGCCACCACGTGCCAGAACATGTGACTCTCCAAGTCTCTGAACCCTACTGGAGGAATGAACACCATTCTGCCAAAGATGTTCCCTCATTGGTGGTGGAGACGCTGTCTAACACATCGCTCCAACATCTCCCATAGCTGTTTAACTGGGGTTAGATCTGGTGAAGGTCACAGTATATGATTCACATCATTTTGATACCCATCAAACCATTGGGTGACCCCTCGTGTCCTGTGGATGGGGGTGCTGTCATCCTGGAGGAGACCACTCATTTGCTCAGGGTTTTCCTTTAATCTGTCACCCACCTGTATGTTCACCAGCTAGTTGCTAACTTTGTCTGGTGTTAAGCAGGTTAACAACAAAAACATCTGACAGCTGTGGTTGAAGATGAGGCTGATTAAAGCAGTGAGACTGATCCAAAACCAGCTGCTGGACATGAGGTCCGACAATCACTCACCCTTCAGTGCTACTCCATTTTGGTCTCCACCAACTCATGAGAAGGAATATTTGGCTCTTTAGCAGCTAAATGCTCCACTGTGCTCACCCACTAGTCACTCGCTCTGTGTGCAGCTGGCTGCTAGCCAGGTAGTACAGTGAGCTTAGTGCATTTCTGCTGAAAACGGCTGCCTACAGTTTGTGGGCTGTAAAACCAAAATCATGAGGCTTAAAAAGGGGGGTACGGGAGAGAGAGGTAAAAAACCTTTGAATTTGTCTCTCTGAACATCACAGGAAGTCCTTTGAGCCACTGTTCATAGAAAATATTGATTAGAAGAGCTTTAAAGAAAAACCTCTAGATTTGCTCACACTTTACATTACTGCGTTCAATAAAACTGTGATGCGGTATTTTACATGATTTTGACAATTTCCTCCAGACTCCTGGCAGAATTCTAATGTAATTAAACATTTGAGAGGCCTAGTTTCTTCTAACCACAAACATACACCCACACACATTCACCAACTGCCAAACTTCCCAGCATGCTTTCAGAGGGTTTGTTAAATCCCCGAAGCAGTGTGCTTTGAGCCCATTAAATGAAAATATTAATATTTTCTGGCAGGTTGCTCAAAGTAAATTATTAGGCCGCTTGCTGGTGCCAAACAGCAGCGAGGACACACTGTGCGCTTGTCATTTTTATTTCACTCATCAACATGTGTGAGGGCTGAGCTGAAATATTCAGTTTATCAGCAAAGCTCTAAATGTTTTAACATGTTCTGTAACTACTGACGCAACTGCAACATCACCACATATAATAATTAACATTCTTTATTATGGTCGTATTTGTCTTCAAAAAAAAGTTGTTGGCAGGTATGGAAGCCAAGTCAACACAAGTAACGGACAGTGGGTGGGATTTCCGATCCTTTCCCACTTTACACAACACTTCTACTGCATCCACCCGCCAATTAAACAGGCCTGAACTTGAGTTGGAGCCTGTGCCAGTGAACATTGTGCTCAGAGGAGGGTACATCCTGGTCAGGCTGACAGATGGAGACTTAAACTCGGAACCCTCTGTTTGTGAGGAAGCAGTGCTAACCACAGCACCACTGTGCAGCCCACCTGCACTGTACAATTATTACAGGTATTTGTGTATTTTAGAAATCACTAACGTTGTGTCTCCTCTCTCCCGTAGTGTGTCCTCTCTCTCTCCCTGTACCTTTCTGGCCCTGGAGCTCTCTGTTTCTGATGAGCAGTCACCAGCCACATCAGCCTGACCAGTGTTTGATTGTTTGTTGTGTCTTGTTGCTTTTCTTTTCTTTTCTCTCACCAAGAGCCAGGGTCTGTCAGAGGTTTGTTTGGTTAAAGTGAGTTTTCCCGCTGTCATCAAGTGCTGCTCAAGGGGGATTTGTTGGGTTGCCCTCTATTATAATAATAGTAAGATCTAGACCTGAAACTAAAATTCATTTAATTATTTTATATGTGAACTGAAACTAGTAATATTTTTAAAAAGCTAACTTAAAATAACCTGAAATGTAAGAAAAATAATTTCATAATACAGTAAAATAACTTCATTTTTATACCGATAGATTAAAAAAAAAAGTTATACCTCTTAAATTTAGTAACATACACTCACCAGCCATTTTATTAGGTACACTTGTACAATTGTATGTACTTCAATGCAACACTTCAGGCTTAACATCTTTGTTTATGAAGCTAAAATGTTTGTTTTAGTGAAATTCTCAAATGTATAAATTTAAATATACCTCTATATTTTCGTCCTCCCCAGCTACATATATGAGAGGATCAGAATATTAGGAACACCTCTGAATATAATGTAGTCCAGTACAACACCACCTGTAACTATGAGCTCAATAATAAACATACAATTGAATTTACATATTTATGACAATTTCATCAAAAACTGAAACATTTTGAGCTTCATAAACACAAATGTTAAGGTGGAAGTGTTGCATTGAATTGCATACAATTGTACAGGTGTACCTAATAAAGTGGCTGGTCAGTGTATGTTAATGTACACTATGCCATTTGTCATTGGTGCAAAAATTTCAATAAGCCAAAAATATTACATTTTAATGACAGAGGCAATTCTGTGACTCTATAAAATGATCTTGATCTGCTTGCGCATTCTAAACAGCATCCATTATTTTTTGTTACCGAGGCAGCATCTGAACTGTTACCGACCACGTGTTTCCAGACTCATCGTTCTTGCCAAAGGCGCTGTAGGACCCATCTTCATGCTTGTAGGTGAGCTCTCTCTGATAACCTACAACACAGACACACATGAACAAAACAAAGTGTAAATGTGGTACACTGCAATGCTCTGTCAGAAGTGCCAGCTCCTTTAGCATTAACCTGGTTAGTTGCCACAAATGTATGAAATTACTGTAGCTTTAACATGTTTTCAGTTT